TTTGAAATCGGCAATGACTTAGTTGCCAACCTAATAGATTTCAATATGCATAAAATCATTGTCCCTTTTTTTCCTTACAACATCATCCCTAATCTTTTGGTAACTCGTTTTCAATTTTTTACTGCTCATAACTGCTGTGTTTCTAGATTTTATTAAAAGACAGTTGATCTTCAAAAGTTGTTTTCCTCTACTCCTTCCAGATTTACCAGACGATGAAGAAGGAGCTGGAGACGAAGCGGAACTAATGGAAGTTGACGATACTCCCCCACCGCCACCGCCACCACAACCTTCCACTAGTCGCCGAGCTTCATCGCGCCAACAACGTGCCGCTGCGGCTGCAGCTGCCAGTGCCGTCGCAGCCTCCGTCTCCATCGGTACCCCTATTCTTGGTGGGGAGGAAGAGGAAGAGGTGGGTGGGGATGCTAGTCCCGGCTCTGCTGCTTCGTCTTCTGTCGCTGCGGCGGGTACCCCTGCTTCCTCATCTCAAAAAGCTACACCCGCACCACTAAGGATTAAGATTTCTAGCGGGAAGAAGAAAAAGAAGAGAAGTAGTGGCCGTGGAAGTCGAAGAGATGTAAGTTGTTTGCGGTTTTCCCCATAAATAGCTCAAGTAATGTTTACACGTTAGTTTTCAGAAGGAGATTTTAAGATTGGTAGGCTAAACCCCGGTAAAAGTTGACGCAACTGAGGCTGATCATTCCCTTTTTCCCTGTTATTTCATCTTGGTTTAATATCATCTGCCTATCTTTGTTTCATTCGGGAATATTTTGAAATCATTTGAAGGCATGCATTTTCCCTCATCGCACTTGTTGGCTAAGAATGCTCTCTTTAGATTGTCCCGTTTAGTAATTTGAATTCCTGTTTGTGTACCACTGACAACTGACCTCGTTAATTAATCATCATTCCACCCATCCTATTTGAAAGCAACAAAAGCTGGTACAGAAGTAGAGGGATAAGGTTTTGTTTGCACCGAATGTGCCAGTGGTCAATCTATGCGTTTACCACGTCATTCGTTACGTGTTCAATATCAATCAGTGTGCATGTAGTGGTGTAGGTTTTCAAACACCATGGTCAAATCTCGTTCTCACTATCCAAGGCAACTACTGCTACCGCTTATCCTAAACTGAGCTACATGATCTGTCCCCATTATCTTCTTCCATTTATTTCAGGGTTCAAGAGCAGGCGGTGGTGACACAAGTGACGAAGAATTCGAACGCCAATTGCAAGAGGCAGAAGCCCTTCAAGAGGAGGAGCAGAAGAGACGCCGCCAACAACGCATAAATTCTCGTCGAGCCACTTCGAAAGCGGGTGCCTCAGGTGGTGAAGCATCCACCATTCATGTTTCCGCCTCCGCTCCCAATCTTGTCCATGGTGTGGGAATCAAACGCAGTGTCATCGCGCGGGTACCTCTCATGGGTGGAAATCGACAATACGAAGATGGCTATGAAACCGACCATCAAGACTTTTGTGATGTGTGTCAACAAGTAGGTAGCTCAGTTCTTATTTCCCCTACTCCAAAAAAGGAGAACTTGATCTAAGTCTTTATGCTTCTCAAATTATCGAATTTGCAGATTCTTATTCCGGCTTCCCATCTTTTAATTTTTTGTATTCATGGTGTATTATTAAGTAGGTACGTGATGTACAACCCATTTCTTGCACAAATTATGGCTGGAGGTTTTAATCTTTTTAGGGTGGAGAAATCGTTCTCTGTGACACTTGTCCTCGTGCCTTCCACCTAGTCTGTCTCGACCCAGAATTAGATGAGCCTCCGAAGGGTGATTGGTCTTGTCCACAATGCGTGAAACAGGGTGTCACAGCAGCCTCCCATCGTACCCAAGGTGGTGACGGTGATGACCTTATTTCCACAGCCAGTGAAGGTCCCGTCCATGTCTCTCGCAAACCCGAAATTGAAGGTGAGGAGTTTGAACGCGATGAGCACCAGGAATTCTGTACTGTATGTCGAGATGGCGGTGAGCTCATCTGCTGTGAGAGGTGTCCTGCCTCCTATCATATCCAGTGTCTGGATCCCCCTCTCCCCAAAATCCCTGAGGATCCTTGGCTTTGTCCTCGTTGTGGCTGCAAGAAACCGAAAGGGAAAGTGGCTAAGATTCTCTTTTGGCGATGGAAGGAACCCTCCGTAAAGCTTACAAATCCGGAAGAACCTATTGTCATTTCAGAAGAGAGCGATAAAATTGAAAAACAGCATGGTCAGGTGGGAGACGATACATCAACCGTAGTGGTTCATCCTCAACCAGCACCCGCACCCCAAAGACAGCCTAAACGAACACGGGAGTACTTTGTAAAATTTGCAGAGATGTCTTATTGGGCCTGTGAGTGGGTCACAGAATTACAGATGGATGTTTACCACAATCTTATGCTCAGATTGTATTTCAAGAAATTCGATATGGATGAACCACCACAGCCAGAAGATGGTGCCTCCCATAGGTAAGGAAATACCGTTAATTCCTTGATATCTGGGATAGGCTTTCGACAAGACATGTGTATCTAGTTTCCAATGTTACGCGTTTCGAAGTAGTGTAATATTTGTAATCTCGATGTGCGTTTGACTCCGCTATGTCCATAATGCCTTCATGGGTTCTGCATCGGAGGGGGGGGGGGGGTATTCTGTTGCCCTTGCATTAAAGTTACCTTTCAGAGTTTCTGAGGGAGTTTTCATGAGGGGCGATGCGGACACGCGCCACGTGCGATTAGTTTTAGCGATCAAGTCTGCGCTTGCCTTTTGACGCCTTTCGTTTGCTACTTTCACCACACTGGCAAAATTGCCATATTTTGAAGGAAGTATGGGGGGGGGGTGGAGGGAGGGGAGAGGGTTGTAGTGAGTCATCATTATTCTCTGCCTCCGAAGGAGACAGAAAATGTGGTGGCCTCATTTATCGATCTTGGGTGTGCATTTTTAAACTCTTCCCCCCCCCCTCCCCCCAAGAGATCCACCAAAAAATGAATGTTAGCGAAGCGTTTGAAGAGAATTTGAACTTTTCGTTTCAGTTCCTACATTGTGATTTTAATTTGTTATTTCACAGTAGCTATCATTGGAGAAAGCGTTTACCCAACTATATGCACTGTTCGTTTACCTCTACTTGAATAAAAGTATCCTTATAAAGGTACTATTTGATCTATTTCTTGTTGTTATTTTATGAATGAGATAAGTAAAATGACAAATTTCGGTCAAGTGGCAATTTGCCCTGTTTTTTTTCCTCAAAATCTTGATTTTTGTGTGGGCAGGTTGCGTTGGCGTCATTTTCATTCTAACGGCAGGACGGCTCAGCTGAAATATTTTAGTTAACTCAAAGAGAGTCCACTTTTGGCAGAAGGGTAGGTAGCTTTCGGTGAATATTCATCTCAAGAAAATGATGGAGGTAAATTTTTGGGTTTTTTGTTTTTTTTTTCAAAGTCACTTGCTTATTGTTGATCCTCTTTGTCTTCCGAGAGACCTCATTGCTTGCGATTCTAGGAGCTTGCTTTTCAATGCGAGTGATCATGGATTGGGGGGGGGGGGGTAGATGTTGGTTTCATTCACTTAACATTTCCTAACTCTCATCCAGTTCGATTTCGTTTGATTGTATTAACTGTGAGGGGGGAGGAGGAGTCCACTTGGGTTCGTTCGAGATATATATGCATGCATGTATGCAATTGGACTGGTTAATTAAATCAGGTGAGCATTGCCTATTTAATCATTATAACTTAGTTGTTTGTTTAAATAGCTTTCTTCGTCTATTACCGCCTTCGGTCACTTGATTAACGAATGTGACGTGCAATACGGTAACTCCAATCACTCGTGCTTTGAGCTAGAACACCACACACACACGCACATACACACACACACACACACACGCATCTCAGCATGTTCTAATTACCTAAAGATGAATCACCCCACACCACGGGCGTATGTCTTGGATACGTGTGCTGTCTTACCTCCACTGTCTCCGCTCCCTCCCTCCCCTTCTTATCTGACCTTCACTGTTAGCCAATCAGCAGCTGGTTTGTTTTTTGTCGATGTCGGCTTTTGGTACTTCAGTATTAGGTTCTATTGAGTAGGCCAGCTTCCATGACATTGGTCGGTATATGGGACTTCAAAGTCTAGGAGATTTTGTAATTTATTCCCAATTCACTTTACCTGACTCAAATCAAAGCTTTCTGGCGGGTGACATTAATTACAAAGTTCCCTGCTCCACTGGGAGTCCTTCATTGTTACTCTGTCACGTGACAGGTGATTTAGGTTTCTCTCCTGCCCCTATTTTAAACGTGGAGGATTTTCACCTGTCTAGTTGGGACTAGACCTTGTCGTCTAATACAATACAATGGTCTCTAGTCGTGGTTGTAATGGCCCACTACGGAGCATTATCATTTCCTTTTAGGAATCGTATCACACCATTAGAAGGCTTAAAGTTTTCTGTCCCTTCACCACAAAGCTCCTACTGTCGTGAGTGATGTTCAATAACACAATTTCCTGAATTTGAATGCTATGGTTTTGAAAAGGTGGATTTAGTTAAGTTTGATATTTATACCGGGCTCTTTAGACAACCTTTTCTCTTTTCATAGTCCTACTAGACCACAATGTATACTCAAGAGGACTTTTAATTTGCTTTCAGTGGATTTATCATTTATTTCTATGGGCGTCAGGTGAGACGGGTTTAATTGGGTTAAATCTACTTTACTTTCGGTCAAGCCAAGTGTATGGATTGAGGTCACAGATCAGGCCACTAAAAGGGTTGTGATTAAGCTAGGGGGTTTCAAAATTGTTAACTTTACTGACTAATTAGTCTTTGTATGCTATTTTAGAGGCCGTGCCCGTCTAAAGGGTTCAAGTGCGCTCAATCTGGAAGAACGCTTCTACAAATTCGGAGTTCGTCCTGAATGGCTTCAACCTCAGCGTATAATTGACAGCCGAACAACCAGAGGGAAGGAGTGGTTCTTGGTGAAATGGCGCGATTTGCCCTACGTAGAATGCACTTGGGAGGATCCCGCTACGACAGAAGTCCCAGATTTCGAACGCTATGTAGACGAATTTCGTCTAATGCGGGGTCTATTTAAAGGTGAGGCTGTCACCTCCACTTCGGGGAAGAAGAAGGGAAAGGATTCTGCACAGGCTTTATCTTCTGTTGGAATGTCTGCCTCCAAGCGTTCCTCCTTCAACGCCAACTTGTTATCAAAGATTCCGCCGGAAAAACCTGCGACAGATTTGAGGAAACAGTTGCCAAAGCAACCCGAGTATCTTGATGAAACCGGTCTTATGCTGCATCCTTACCAACTTGAGGGTTTGAATTGGCTGAGATTTTCATATGGCAATAAGGTGGATACTATCTTGGCTGACGAAATGGGTTTGGGAAAGACTATCCAGACAATCGCCTTCCTTTACTCCTTGTACAAAGATGTAAGTTGGACTTTTCCTTCTTTTGCTTACTTTTTTTAGGAAATTGTTTAATTTTAGCTGATTTTCATTTATGTCATATTCATAACATTCTCTGAGCCCAATTGACCAGTGAATAGAATTCAATCTTCCATTAGGCTAATTTGTTCTATCGTCGCCAGTTTACTTTTTAGTATTTCTCGTTATGGTGAGCAGCATGAATTCTCTTAAAAGTGGTTAATTTAAGGGACATGAGTGTCAATTTTTTACTTAAGAGGCTTAGCTGGGGGATAATCTCGAAATTTTAATTCCTAATTTTCTAACTCGAACTCTCTTGTTCCTTACAACACGTCTATATCTTCTGGTGTATCACAAATAGTATGTGATGTTATTACCGCTTTCTCTTGAAGGTGTCTATTTCTAAGGAAATGAAGTAATCTCACTACTTTCCATTCAGCATCTTCCAATGCTATTTCTTGAGGTTAAGAGAAACTGCTGGAATCGGTATTCTGCGCCAGCGTTGTGTAACTTATGGAGATTGCTAAGCCCTTTAAATCGGCTATGCAACATAACCACAACGTGACGCAATTCCCTTGAGCTCTCTCTTATCTACTGCACTACTTTTTGTGGTGACATTGGTTTGCCATAACACACACACACACACACACACACAAAGATGCTGCAAACTGATTGGTGCTGGTATGACGCTCCCTTGTTGTTGTCCCTGGCGAGTTAATTCCCAAGCTCCGTTATATAGCATTTAAACGCGCAGCTTTTTTCCATTTGAGCTTCTTTCATCTCATCTTTTTTTCATGTAGCCTGTGAGACCGTACAGTCAGACCTCGAACTTGTTTCACAATGTGGGCCAGTTTAAATATTCTCTGTCTTCTCTTCATTACTGTTTATAACTTTTGGTCTTTATTGATTTGCTTATTAAAGCTTGTGCAGTTGTTTCTCCCAATGCTTACTGTCCTGCCTCTGTGTGGTGGTGGTGGTGGTGGTAATTCGTTGTTAAGTCTCTCTCGAATGAGATGCTGTTTTCAAGACTCCTTGTTTTTATTATTTCGCACTCACCCAGAGATCCATTGTTAAGTCAACTTCCATAGAAAAGAAGGGCTAGGAGTCTGGCTTAATGCTTATTCTCTATTCTCATGTACTTTTTGTATATGCGTTTTAATGGAGTTAAACAAACCAAGGACTTTGCGATTGCCCTAGTATCATTTTCTCCGAGTCGAAGCATTCAAGAACGAGAAACATTGAGGTGAGAGGAGAGTAGGAATACGTGTAAATAAGATGGTGGAAATAGCCTAACTTCATCCTGCGCACCATTGGCGCAGTGGTAGCTATGCCCGTCTGCCAAGTCAGAGGTCACTAGGTCAATGCACAGCGGTGTATATTCAGTAGTGTTGGTGATTAATCGCCCTGGTCATTCATGGCCAACAAGAAAGGTGGCAGAATGTGCATTTCTGCTCAAAACATTCTAATTCTAGGTCCATTCGATTTTGGCCGCTTCTAGTGTAGGAAGAACGTAGCTTCTACTTCCCAGGCCAGCACGTTTGAGAAAGACTTACTATTTAGTCAATCGCTTAATACTTTTCAGAAAACTGATTACCTAATTGGTTCAATAGGGTAGTTTGTCTATATTCTTTAATGGGAAAAATAACATAAATACCTCTCCCTACCCGGACGCATTAATTAAACACACAAAAATAATTATCTCTTACTGGGATGCCTTTTAGGGTCATAGCCGAGGTCCATTCTTGGTAGCTGCTCCCCTCTCTACAATTATCAATTGGGAACGCGAGTTCCAACTCTGGGCACCCGATTTCTACGTTGTCGCCTACGTAGGGGACAAAGAGTCCCGAACAGTCATTCGTGAACACGAATTCACTTTTGAGGAGGGTGGTGTCCGTGGTGGTTCTCGCGCCGTGAGAATGCGATCTGGAGCCCAAGTTCGATTCCACGTTCTCCTAACCTCATACGAGATGATCTCCATTGATCAAGCCCTCTTATCCTCTATTGATTGGGAGGTGTTAGTTGTAGACGAGGCCCACAGGCTGAAGAATAATCAGTCCAAGTTTTTCCGAATGCTTACAACTTACAAGATCGCGTACAAACTCTTGCTGACTGGCACTCCACTTCAGAATAACCTTGAGGAGTTGTTCCACCTTCTTCATTTCATGTCTCCGGCGAAATTTAACGACATGCAGGGATTCTTAGACGAATTTGCGGATATTTCAAAGGAGGATCAGGTGAAGAAGTTGCATGAAATGCTAGGCAAACATTTGCTGAGGAGGCTGAAGGCGGATGTGCTCAAAAATATGCCTTCGAAGGGGGAATTTATTGTGAGAGTGGAGTTGAGTCCTCTGCAAAAGTGAGTTTATGCCATAGGAATAAACATTTATCCACGTTTTCTCTATTAAGTAGTATGCAACGTGAATTTCGATAAGTTTTACGATTAGTTTCCTGTGCGTGTGTCGGTCGTTTATTGGGTCAATTCACAAACGTCTGTTGCTCGGGCTTCAGCTTCACCCCAAATGAATGTTAGAAACGAATTTCATTCAACAAGCTTTGGTCTTAAGGCAATTCGTTCGCTTTATTTAAACTTACACTTATTGCCACGAGGTAGCAGTGTGTGAGTGCATCAAAATTAGGAGTTGGTAAAGGGGTATCTGGTATCATGTTATACGAATTGCCGTTGTTGTCATATTGCTTGAATGTTATCAACCTTTGTTTGTTCAGTACAGCACTAAAAAATGAAATTTCGAATCTAATTGACTTGGTTTGACCTTGAATTTGTGGCACGTGGCTTCCATAATCTCCGTCTCAAAGAAGTGCAATTCGTTGTAACAAAGAGTTTCCGTCTAATTTGCTCCCCTTTTAGAGGATTGGACAGCTGTTTAGTCGTTGAAAGCATTTCGTCGAATTCCTATTTCCCTTAATATGAGGATCGATTTTGTCAGGAACTTGGTTGGAAATTCGATGCTTTAGAAACAAATATAATTAACGAATTCTAGTGTGTGATATCTGCAGATTTGGGACTGTAACAAGGGTCAACAACTTGCATGGCTCGAAGAACAGTCATGTCAATCTTTTCAATGGATTCCAATTGTTTGAGCGCTTTTTCTTAACCTCTTGGCTCTCTCTGATTGTGGTCTTTCATATTGGCATAAGATGTCGCATTGATGTCTCTTTTTTATTTGAAAGTCCACCAAGTGTTGATTTATGTATTTATGTCAAATGGTAGGTGTTTTGATAGTTATCATTAGCCCTTTAGTTGATTTCAGGCTTCACAGAGGGGAAAGAACATAAAAGTTAAAAAAAGTCGTGTGGGGGGGGGGGGAACAGAAGTGTTTCAAAGATGTAAAAGAGGCAGACACAAAGGTAGAAAAATGATGATGTGAGTACTGTGGGTGAAGTCGAATATGACATACAGAGGAGTGATGGTAGTTTTAAGTCAGAAGTCAACTGCTGGTTTATAGACTTTGTGCCGTATGAGTATGCGTTACCCCCAGGGTGCACCACGTGGAGGTAAGTCTATCGCACATCCCAGAATGATCTCGCGAGGAACGCGACACCGGGACCTGGCCGGAATTTGAACCCGGGACCACTCGCACCCTAAGCGAGTATCAATTTAACGAGCGTCATGTTCATATCGACTGTTTAATCAATCTGGCTGTCGTTTCTCATGGCATTGTTGCAGACTCTGATTAGTAATGTTATTTAATTTATGTTAATCTATAAGGTCATTCCATTCGCTCTCACTTGTGTTCACCAAAAAGAGGCAATTCGATTTCTATTTTTGGGAATAAGTTCACGATTTCTATTTATGGGGATTTAAATTCTACTGACTAATTCCATCCTAATAGTCCACTCCCTTCATTAAATATGCGCCCTCTTAGCATTCTGGTCGAACGATGAAAAAAGGGTTCAGCAAGTCCATAAAGTGTATCTAAATTCCTTTCCTTGGTCTCCGCTTGATATACAGTTTTGGACCGTGTAAATATTCCATTCTTCTATGCTAATTCTAATACGGCCAGTTAAGTGAGATGTAAATTCTGCTCTCCGTCTATTTAGGAAATTCTACAAGTTCATTCTCACCAAGAACTTCGATGCTCTGAGTTGTCGGGGAGGTGGGGCCCAACCTTCACTCATCAACGTTATGATGGACCTCAAGAAGTGTTGTAATCACCCTTACCTCTTCTCCGCGGCTTCTGAGGACGCACCACGATTGCCGAATGGTGCCTTCGAGAGCTCAGCTCTGCGTAAGGCCTGTGGGAAACTCGAACTTCTCTCCGCTATGCTCAAAAAACTCAAAGTTGGTGGTCATCGTGTCCTTATCTTCTCTCAAATGACCAAGATGCTTGATTTGCTTGAGGATTTTATGGAGGGTGAAGGCTATAAATACGAGAGAATTGATGGCAACGTCACGGGACAGTTGAGACAAGATGCTATCGATAGATTCAACGCTGTCGAATCCACTTCATTCGTATTCCTTCTGTCGACAAGGGCTGGTGGTTTGGGTATTAATCTTGCCACAGCTGATACAGTTATTATTTACGATTCGGATTGGAATCCGCACAATGATATACAGGCGTTCTCTCGAGCTCATCGTATTGGTCAAGCCAACAAAGTCATGATCTATCGATTTGTCACGAGGGCAACGGTGGAAGAGCGAGTGACGCAAGTGGCTAAAAAGAAGATGATGTTGACCCACCTTGTTGTGAGACCTGGACTCGGCGGAAAAGGGGGGAGTCAAATGTCGAAGAAAGAGCTAGATGATATTCTGAAGTTTGGTACTGAGGATCTTTTCAAGCACGAGGATAACGATGGTAAGTGACCGCACTGCTAAATGGTGGTTAATTGTGAATTATTACGAATTTGTCATGATTGGATACAAAACAACAACTCTTTTCATCAGTGCTTCACCATAAGAAAGCAGGACCCCTATACACAGGAAAGGAAAGTTAGTTTAAAGGCGTACTTTTGTAATAACTTCATAATCAGGTGATCAAAAGACTCCCATTTCATTGGATCTCCACTATTCGTCATTCGACTGCCTTTTCCCTCGTATTTATTCATTTTGGGGGAAGTTTCGCGGCTATATCCTTTATTCAGGCGATTTGTATAGCATTCCTAATTGCTCAGCAGTGTTTCTCAGAGCGACTTTCTTGTAAGACTTTTACTATATATTTGCCTCCAGACAACATTCTCCGAGCAGTGTTCTAAACAGTTTTTGATCTCCACTTCTATCCATCAGTTACTTCCAGTCTTGTATATAGTTGTAAATCGTAATGTGGAAGCTCCTTCATTAAATTTCGATACTAGACAAGGTGTAAGTATGACGATGCTATTTCTCTCGTTTTTTTTCTAATTTTATGTAGCCTCGGACGAGCATTGCATCGTCTATGACGACGCTGCTTTAGATCGCCTTCTTGATCGAAGTCAACAAGGTATGGAAGAAAAGCAGATGGAGATGAACGATTATCTCTCTTCCTTCAAAGTGGCTCATTATGAAAAACGAGGAATTCAAGACGGAGATAGTGATGCTGGCGATGAAGATGATCCCAACGTGGAAGTGATTAAACAAGAGCTCGATACGAATGACCCTGCCTACTGGGAGAAACTTCTGCGTCACCACTTTGAGCAAGCTCAAGAGGATCAGGCAAAGTTGCTAGGGAAGGGTAAACGTCATCGTAAACCCGTCAACTACTGGACAAATCAACAGGAGGAGGAGGATGATTGGAATGACAATGGTAGTGACCACGACAGCAACTTCTCAACTCGAGATGAGGAAGATGACGAATATGATGATAAACTTGGAGCCGATGGCTCGCAAATCGGTCGTAGGGTGCGCCGTGAGCGAGAGGGTAAAATGCCTCCCATCCTCTCCCGTGTCAATGGACAGATTGAGGTTCTGGGCTTCAATTTCCGCCAGAGAAAGGCTTTTGTCAACTCGGTTCTTCGTTTCGGCCTCCCTCCACCTCCTGGTGCTAGTAAAAACTGCCTTGAGGCAGCCTGGCATTCGAGGGATTTGAGAGGGAAACCAGAGAAGGTTTTCCGTGCGTACGTTGCCCACTTCCTTCGCCATTTATGCGAACCGGATAGCATGAATCAAGATAATAATCCCAATTACCCTGATGGAACCCCGAGGGATGGTATTCTGCATCAACCCATTCTCACGAGAATTGGAATCATGTCGTTGGTGAGAAAGAAGGTGCAGGAGTTTGAGCAAATCAATGGTCTCTATAGTATGCCAGAACATGCTCCTCAAGAAAGCGTGGCATCTTCTAATAATGTTCCTGAAGAGTCGTCGCAGAATATGGAAGCATCCACTACCGAAGGTGCTACTCCAATTTCCCAGCCTCTCAGTGTCACTGTAGGAGGCAGTAGTGCTGTTCATAGTGGTCCGAATGGAAATGGATCGGATGACACCTCAAAGGCAAGTGATAAGACGGAGCCGATGGTTATAGGCGCTGGGGAAGAGGGTCATTCGATTACCGTCAAACCAGAAGCCGTAGCTATCAACCTGGACGAATCTGATGTAAGTTCCCAGAATGTCAAAAGTGATATCTGTTCATGTCTAGGTGATACCAGATAGATTGGCGCTAATTGGTACTTATGCTTGTCAAGTAATTTGGGCCACGTATGAGTCTCTGTAAATCGTGATGTTAAATGAAACTGAAGTTCTTGCAGCACACAATTAACTCTACTATTGACTGAAATGCCTACTGTATCAAGGTGATAATTATGAATTCTGGGTATCCAAAATTTTACCGCTCCAGGCCAGTAATTGGCAGTTAGATGACGGATAAATTACTGAATATCTCTTATTGAGTTAGCACGTAATGGAATCGTTTTTGTGACGGGGGTGGGGGTGAGGGAGGGAGGGAGGGTGGGTGGGTGGGTGTCTTTTACATTTAGTGTTAGCAAACACGCCATTCAAGGATATAAATAGCCTATGTCCTATATTGGCGCCGAAAACCCCATTGATTATTGTAACTTCGAAATGTATAAGCAATAATGCTCGATGGCGAGCCTTTTTGTTGTCAAATTAAGGTCAGCATTTAGCCACTAGGAGTTATTTAAAAATGTTGACCATGTATCATGTATCAGTATTGGATCGATGAAGCGCGTCACGTGAAGCGGAATTTCTGGGTAGGCTGGAGTTTATTGGACTTGGATTCCAAGCACACCAGTTTTAAGGACTTCAAGATAATCTCATGCAGTGCCAGAGTACTTGTCTTAGAAGCGAGAAGTCGGAAAGTGGCTACAGCAGCATACAAGTTGATGTGAATTGGCCGATGGAGAACAAATGATGATGAAAAAAATAACTTTTTTCGTTCAATGAGTCGTTAAGGCGAACGAAATATTAGTGCTCTAAAATAAGGTCAAATCGATTTGACCACTTGGTCAATAACATAGATTAGAGTTTGATGGTAAATTGTTGACAAAACTACATTCATTTAAATACTTCCATGTAACTTTGAATATCTACCTACTTCCATTTTTGTTTAAGAATATTGAAGAGGGCAAATTGACAATCGATGAATCTCTCGGCATTGCTGCAACGGAGTCAAATGATGTGGAAGCGCCAGTGAGTTCTAGAATAATCTCTTATTTAATTGATTTTGATAAGTGTCAAATAGTACATTTAGCATTTTTTTTCTCTCAGCCAAAATCGGAGCCAATGGAAGCTGAAACCTCACAAATTACACCACCAGCACCCAAAAAGTTTATGTTCAATATAGCAGACGGTGGCTTCACCGATCTGCACACAATTTGGTTGAATGAGGAACGTGCTCTAACGGATAATCGTGGTGGTGTTGAAATTTGGAATAGAAAACACGATTACTGGCTTCTTGCAGGCGTTTGTCAACATGGTTACGGTCGTTGGCAGGATATTCACAATGATCCCCGTTTCGCACTTATCAACGAGCCTTTCAGTATTGACCAGGGCAAACCTAATTACTTGGAAATGAAGAACCGTTTCCTGGCACGTAGATTCAAGCTCCTTGAACAGGCCCTGATTATTGAGGAGCAGTTACGACGAGCTTCTCATCAGAATATTGTCTGCGATCCAAAAGATACTGTTCAAAGCCTTAATCGCCGCTTCAACGAGTTGGAGTGTCTTGCCTTTGCACAACAGAAAGTTTTCGCTGAAGCACTCTCGGGAAATCGCTCTCAGATTCAACTTATTCATCGAGGTAGATACCGTTGTCATTTTTTTAAAATGATTAACTTATTATTCCAGTAGACCCGTCTAATTGTAAGCATTGATTTTTGCTTCCCTAGCCTTGACAATGATGGAGGATTACCTTGCAGAGATGAAGCAGGACGTCTCGCGTCTCCTCACAATAGTCCCAAGAATGCAACCGGTTTCTGAACGTTTGAATCTCAGCCATGCCGGGTTGATCACCAAATTGACTCAACAGCTGACAGCCGCGAAACAGGCCAAATTAGCCCAACAACAAGCCGCAGATGCTGCTGCTGCTGCTGCAGCTGGAGCGAATCCTGACACACCTGCCGAACCTGTGGTAGAAGAGAAGGCTTAGTGGAGAAGGCCACTTTTCCCTGTCTATTTCTCCGACACCTTCACCTCTCAACGTTCTGCCTTCCATCCCTCCTCCCCCCCCCCGTCTCTCGTTTTGTCAAATTCTGTTTAAATTTCTTATCATATTTGTGTGTGTGTGTGTGTGTAACGAACTGAGTTGGAGTTCTTCATATCGATGGTATATATATATATATAAAATAATAATTGCAGTGGTGAACGATTTGTCTCAATCTAATTAGGTAACAGGTGTTCGTGAACCTTTTGGTCATTTCCATTTATGGAAGCAGTAGTTGAATTTAAGAGTGTAGTTCAATGCCTTAAGTCGGGGTTTCTGACTTGGCTTGTCTTGTGAATGGGGCTCCAGTTTCGTGGGAGGGGGAGGGGG